TCAAATCGATTAACTCGGTTGCGTTTACCACAACCCCGCGCTCACACTTGGCGTCCAGAGCTTCCCTACGTTTTTTTCGTGGGAGGCTCTTTTCTTCCGGCGTAAGCTCGAGCCGAGAAACAAAACGTGGAAGCAGTTGCACTTTACGGAGATGTTCGTCGACTTCGGCCAGCCCGGTAAAGGAGTCCTTCCGAGAGTATACCTTGCGTCGTGCCGACCATTTGGCACGAAGGTCTAACTTGGCAAACATCAAGACGCGTCCCTCGGCCGTTTTGAGCTGCTTGAGGTAATTCCGTTGTCCCTTAGTCTTCTTCGCCACCATTGCCTCCCTCTTGATGAGCCTTTGCAACGACCGGAGCTCGTTCCTGACGGGACCGGCATTGTGGTTTGCGCCATATGTGTCCATCCACTGTAGCCTGACCTTTCTCACATTCTTATTCAGAGATCTCGGGTGTAATTTTCTCAATGCTTCAACGACTTCGTCTGGATCCTCGTTTTCTTCCAGCCATCTCGAACACGTCACAATAGTTTGGTCCATCTTGGGAAAATACACTTGCTCTGCCTACTTCATGCCATACAAAATAAACCAACATTTCGACAATAACGGCTACTTCTCTGACACTTTGTTTTCTGCTTCCTTCTTCTTCTTTGTAAGCCCCCTTCCCAAACCACCTCGGGCACGGTTGCACCTCAAACACTTTACGTCAACGTTGCCCGGCGTGTGGGGTAGGGCGTAGTCGAGACGATCAAGCGTGGGCTGACGCTCGCTGTACACTGCCCAGATGAGCTCGAGCGAGCATGAGTTGCATCTCCCACGATAGGAGCGCAAGAGTTCTTCGATAAGGGCGTCCTTGTGATGCCCCCCGTCCCCGTCATCTAGCCGCCCGGCGGCCACATCGGCGCGCAGGTAGCTCGAGACCTTTGTGGTCGCCCACGACCTCCTGGTGTGTTCAGGCATGTCGCTGACACTCCGATGGACGTCATCGAGGACTACGGCGTTTGAGGACCCCGTCGCTCGGCTGATGGCTGTGTAAAGCCAGTAAACGTCTGAATACCGGTGTCGAGCCTGGTGGATCACCAATTTCCCTTCCACTGTGCGACCCTGAACCGCGTGCACCGTACACGAACCCGGGGGATCAAACAGGATCTCTGCCGCGGCACGACTGAGAGTGGTCTCTTCGAGGGTGGCGCCGTCGTCGAAGGCACTTTGCACGACGACCGATTCGGCCGACGAACGAACGATGTGGTAGGCGTGGTTCTTGTGCACCTTTCCTGTCTTCCCGAGGTCTCGATACTGGGCACCCACCACCGCGCTTTGACCCAGCGCGTCCCACCCCCCAGCCTCGTTGCACCTCGTCAAACCCCGGAAGGCATGGAACCTCGCACATTCCCTGGTATAAGCGAGGTGGAAATCGGAAACGTGTGTGCCGGGCCCTGTGGGTTCGATCCCGCCAAACCTTTCCAGGGCTCGGGTCTGCGCTTCGGCGCTGTTGTCTCCCGCACCCAAGATGTACAACAAACTATCGTCCATCTCGACCTGTTCGTCGATCGTCCTGTCCCGCTTGCGTGCGAACAGGTGAAAGCAGGTGGGAAATGCTCGCTCGAGAACGAGTTGCCTGTCGACGTTGTCAACGCTGATAGACATGCCGCTACACTCACGAACGGGCTGCAGCTGGTGCGTGTCATACGTTCCGATGACGTGGACACCGCTGCTGTGAGTGGCGGCGAAGATCATGCTGAGCGCATGGAGAGACATGTACGCGGCTTCCTCGATTATTACAACGTCCACCCTCGGGATATGTATCGAGCCCGCGGTCTTCCTGACACGCGCGTCGTCGCCGATGAAAAACCCAAGCTGATGGTCGGCAGTCTTCACGCTCCACCCGGAGGGCAGGTCGGTGTACGACGTGCGAAGGCTGTTGGTGGGTGTCAGCACAAGACCGGTCTCGAAGACGGCTTTCGCAGCACGGAGCGCGCAGTAGCTTTTCCCTGCTCCACCGTGTTCCCCCGTGACCGCACAAACGACCCTGTCCTCCTGCGACACCAGCTCGCGGAGTAGTCGCTCGAGAGTTGCTGGCGACTCCGCCGCGCAGATGTCCGGCCATATCTTCCTTTTGTCGTCCTTGCCGACAGATCGCCAGGCTGCATGCGCGGCTTCCATGGTACCGAAGGTCTCCCCGATGCCGCCCCATAGTGGGACGACACGCAGCGCTCTCTCCCGCGGGCAGGGAATGGTCCTCATGGCCGGGGGTAGATTGTCGAGGGCCAACTTCACGTCGATGCCAGCGAAGACGCGATCGGGAGACGCTGCGTTCTTGAGGGCTGATTCGAACTTGAGAGTGCCGGGCGCTTTGAGTTCGCCGCTGAAAAAATGCTCGTAGAGGTGCCTTGCTTCCTCTTGGACCTCTGGAGGTCCTCTGAAGAACACGGCGTCGCACTGGTAGCTGAAGGCAGAACCCCCACACGCCTCGAGCATGTTCCGCACCTCCAACACACGCAGGCGCGTTTCGTCTAGGATGAGCGTCCCCAGGGCCCAGAACCCGTCTCGGTACCAAACCCGGCTAGCCTCGAAACAAAGGTAGGCATCTCCGCTGTCGAGTTTCTCGATGCCAAGCCCCCCATCGGTACTATTCTTCCGCAGCTCCGACTTGATGCGATTAACTTCGCCGAGGACGGGTACGATCTTACCCCCCACGGCCATGGCCTCCTTGCTTGTAGTGACCATTACGGCGTTGATCCTGTCGGCGTGCCTCTGCTGTAACAAGCCGCTCGTGCGAACGAATAGACCCTTCTTGAACCTGCGAGCAGCGTCCGGGTCTTGGAGGAGGGGCTCCCCTAGATCCCGGGCCAGCAGGTCCTGCACGAGCCTGGGTATGTGGCACTTTTGGATCGTCCTCGCAGGTCGCACAAAGTGGCTTACGCGGTGTGGGGCGGGGGTTTCAATTAGCGCCAAATATCGCTTGTAGTTCCGACCAAAGACTGGCGTTACGTCCGCATTCAGGAACACGTCGGGATCGCCACCCGCTTCCAGGCGGACGACGTACAACGTCCAATCCTCGATGTCGTGGCCGTCGAATACCTGCACCTCGTCCATGTGGGTGAACGCCGGAAGATTCTCCATGCTCAGCATTGCAGCCGTGTGCGCGCCGTTGATGTCGCACTGCCAATCTCCTGGTCCGTAGGTTGTGCCCGATGCGTCTTCTGCCCCCACGATAGGTCCCCTCCAACACACCTCGAGTAGCGCGAGAAGAGACGGGCTGTACTCACTCGAGACCCGAAAATCCATCACACCACGAATGAGCTTGCGCCCCAGCGTGTCGTGCAGCTCGATCAGACGAGTAGCTTCGTCGCATTCGAGTGAATCCGGATCCAGTCCGCCCATGCTCGCGCCGCACCAGGTTCGAATGATGATACCGTGCGCCGGCAAAGACAACGAATCCCAGTGGCTGTAGCTGGTGAGCCTGCCCGCACAAGCCACGCCACCGAGGTGGAGATGGAGCATGAGCTCGTCCAAAGCCGTACCGGGAGGTGCGTACCAGGTCTTTTTGCTGTCTGCCTTGTCGTCGGTTCCTCTCCGCCGCTTACGAGCGGTCTGCTGGTGGTCCGTATCCGTCTGGCTCGAGGCAAGGATTGCCTCCGTCATGTCCGCGCAACGACCAAAGGTTCTGGTGTCACCATCCGATTTCTCCTCTCCCTCCCCCTCCTCGGCCTCCTCGGCAATACGGCGAAAGAGACGCCTCGTGCGCACGCAGTGCTCGACCGCCACATGCAGAGATGGACCGACCGCCCCCTCGCGAGCGCCGGTGAAGCGATCCTTCCAAGGGCCATCGAGCACCAAGCGGTACACGTGGCCCTCGCGAACGCCGACATGTAGCGCTCGAGGACGGAGGCTCGTCGTCTGGCCCTTGGCACCGACAACCTCGGCCCCGGAGCCCCTGTGCGACCACACGACGACTGACGCCTTGGTGGTCTTGAGCCACTTATCGAGATGGCGGACAGTAACGGCCGGTACACATTCCTCGCCCGAAAGCCACGCCGAGAACTCTGTTGAACCAACGTCCCTCTCGAGCATTATCGAGTAGAGGTTGCGGAAATAGTTTCCCCCATCCATGGCGTTCGGCGGTGCACGCTTGACACCCTTCTTCGACCGTCCGCCGGCACGAGAATCCATGAAGGCGCCCGTCAGCGGGTCTACGTCACGGAACCCAAATCTCCGTCGATCGCGTGCGAGTAGACCGACCTGACAGTCTCGCCACGAATCTGCGACCAGGACCGCCAGGCAGGCACCCGGGAGGCGCTCCTTCCAAATAACCCCAAACTCGGTAAGGGGATCGTACCTCACGAGTCGGTGGCCGAAGGATGCGATATTGAGCTGTCTGAAGCGTGGATCCTCCGATGTGACACCGGCGCGAACCTGCAGGTCCACGAGAGATGTAGGGATGCCGTGCTGGTTGACGTCGATCCTTCGGCCCCGTGATCCCCAGCAGAGTATCACTCGCCAGGTCTCGTCGGCGGCGGAGACGACGAGCTGTCCGTGTCCGCCGCCCTCTACGTCGACGAAGGCCGCCCGCCAGGCGTCGGCGTCGTCTCTGTGCACCAGGCGCCTGCGCAGCATCGTCCGCGCCCAGGCCTGGAAGTCCGGGAGGTCGGGATCCCCGCCGAGCGGGTGCGAGTTGAACCAGCGGTGCCCCGGCCCCGGGGAGAGGCGGGGGAACGGCAGGCGGAGGCGGAACCCGGCCCCGAAGACCGCCTGGCGCCTGTAGGTCTCTCCCTCCCTCTCCCCTCGGTAGCGCCAGCCGTTGCTCCTGTCGGGCAGGGGAGCGGCCTGGTCCACCTGCTCGACGCCGCACCACCGGTACTCGGGCCGCGGGAGAGCCGTGGCGGCGGCATAGTAGTTGTTTCTCTTTTTATAGTGTTGTCGCAGCATTTTTTTAATTTAAAAGTAGGACGACAAAAAAAGTCGGCGATTGTGGACGAATCGTCAACCACGGCGAAAGATCCCTCCCTGTGTTCTTCTTGGTGATGGTTGTGACGGCTGAGGGCAATAAGGAGTCTCGCGTCCATTGTTTCACGGAAATTTTGTGTGTGCTGCCTCTCTGAAGGTAGGTGGTGATGCATGGTGGATCCCTTATCTACCATCGTCATCGTCGGCTGCGGGATCATCATTTTTTGGGCGTGGCGGGGGACACAGCGACGCCGCTGGATTCGAACCAGGCGCAGAAAAGAGAGAAATATATATTAGGCGCGGGGTGCGGGGGTCAAGAGACCAGACTACTAGTCTACTGCTGTGTCCATACTTTTTCCGACCCATCAGCGAGCTGCGTGCCACTTCGTACATACTACTGTACAGATCTGCCAGCTATGTAGCCGCTGGGACCGACTGCATCGAGAAATCAGTCATAGGGTACTACTACTACTACAGAAGTGTGCGTGTGTGTCATCGAACCAATTATCTCTCCTCTCTCTCTGTCCTTGTTTGTGTCTCTGGTGGATCAAGGCGGACATGGATCGACTGCTGCCGTGTAGTACGTAGACTATGTTCCTCCCCCCCCCCCTGAAGCCTCTCTCACGAAAACTCGACGAGCCACGGAACCTCTTCTCCTCTCTTCGAGCAGCCAGCACGAGGAGGAGAGTGATGTGGGCGTGAGGCAGCAGGGTGTATTCTTCGCCAAGCTTGGGCTGTCTATATCATCATCAATCGGTTGAAGACCGGAAAGATTCCTTGCTATCGCATCCCGAATCCAAGATTGAACGCGTCGGAGATCTATCGGACGGTCGGAGGATCCATCATCTCTCTCTATCTATTGTATCCCCCGCCGTTCTCCTGTAATCAGCCAGGATGATGAGGTCATCATTCGAAGACGACTTGATTTTCCCAAGATCTCCCAGCGTGCTGTCCTCGAATCCACCGTGGATGACGTCACCCGACATCCAAGGATCTTCGATCGTGCCCTATTTTTTTTGCTGTTTTTTAAATTCCGCCGCAGGGGGCGTTGGCCAATCAGCGAACTGCGTGCCACAAATGTTTTTCTCTCTAATGAGTCCTATATTATTCATCCATCCCCGGTAGGTCATCTTTCTGCTGGTGTGGCACTAGGTACGTACCTTGTAGATATGTGTAGTCGAGGTGCCCTGTACCCAAGGGTCGTCTGCAGGCGGTAAAGCCTTTGTTCAGTTCCAGACAGAAGTCTGTGTGATCTGCAGACCGAAGTCTGTGCAGACCGAAGTCTGTTGAGGCAGTGACCGAAGTCGATGTTGTTTCTAAGTGTCGCTTTTGGGACTTGTACTTTCTTCTTTCGTCAGCTTACTTGCAGACGAGAGAGGGAGTGAACCCGGTGGGGCTCGCAACACCTCGTGATCTCGCTACAATGATTATCCTCTGATCAACCATCAATTCATTCGTGAGCTCCTCGCTAGAACTCTAGAACTCGTCATTACATGTTACGTTTTATGTTGTACCAAACGTCACTTATCACACCGCATCTACGTATGATTGATTGCATACAGCAATCATACAGTTGCATCTATCTTACTACACACATCCTACAGCACTTGTGTGCTGTATTCCAAGACGCCCCCATGATGGTTGCAATTTTACATGTGCTTCAACAACCTCGTCGTTGTTCTATACTGCACAAATCCTGCTGTCTACGTACCTCCTCGTTTTGGTACTCCTGCATCATATTCGCCCCCATAAACCGGTATGCATTTTTATCGTGCTTCAACAACTACCTCTCAGCTGTTATCCTGGGAGCGTAACTTATGGATCGTATTGAAGCTGGGAGTAACGCAAACGCACACACCAGGGGGAGTAGACAATCCCTCACCATTTCGTTGCAGGTAATCGTGGCATGCCTCGCATTCATCTGTTGTGTTGTCATAGCACTTTTTTTTAAAATGAATTGGATGCAAAATTGTCCGTTGGCGTGGGTGTCCTGACGGTGGCCTTCATTTTTCATGACCGGACCCGAAGTAGGGCACTTGGTAGGATAGGTGTGACGCACATTTGGCATCGAAAATACTTCCCTTTCTTTCGGAGAGAGCTGACGCCGGTCGAGCTGTCTGAGATTGGGCACATGCTGTTGCATACGGAGCATCTACAGGAAAAACAGAGAAGGGAGAGGAGAGCGAGGGAGCGGGATATGAAGATAATAATTGCGCGGGATAAATGTCGGAGGCAAGGGGTTAGGATGACGTCTTGGAGGAGCGTGTGTTACATGAACGCGACATGAGCGGGCTGAATAGATTCATATATCATTTTTAGCATCGACCACGCAGACTGGCTAGCCAATGAAAAAATAAAGTGTGGTTGGAAACACATGTATGTTGCGTTGATTGATTCATGACTGACGAAGCGTGAAGAATACGTAGGAAAACGAACACATTTACTTACGAAATAGTGAGTGAACAAGCAAACCCTAAGGCGGCCGCTGACGCGGGCAGAGCCCCTGCACTTCTCCCTCCCGCCATGGCACAACCGGCACTGGTCCGTTTTGTCCTCTAGAATGTTTTGGATGAATTCTAGACAGTTTGCGCCGTCGGTGTGAGCGTATTCACGTTTTCCTTCTTACTTGGGATCTGGATAACGCCCGATCCAGCTGAAGAACACGCGGCCCTTTAGCGAAGCGCTGATCATCAAACGCACAACCGAATTCATAATATTGAGCCGCGGAGCGCGAAGCGCGACCGTTCCTTTCCCTCCGTCCCAGGAGGGAAAAAACAGGCTCGGTCTATCAGGGGCCCAAGTTTCAATAAAGAACCGCCTGGATTTTCCATCCTGTTCGACCAGCACATGGTCTGTAGAGCACCGATTGACGATCTGCTGGCTTGTGAGGAACAAGAAAAATAGGGCGCTCTTCAGCACACCGGTTTGGTCGTACTCCGACAGCAGATGGCCGTGCTTCACCGGCATTTGTACCAAAAAACCATAGGAGATAATCTCCCCGATCCCCGAGGAGTTGTAGAAAAAATGGAGAACCAAAACATCGGAGATCTACCACCCACACGCACGTAGTCACGCAGCTGGAACAGAGGAAGCACTCAACCAAACACGCGACACCGCTAGGAGGGGGAAGACAGCAATGGCCCCGGAAGGGAGCCATACACGCAGCTCGTGGCGGATGCCATTATCATTGATGCTGATTCGGTGCGTGGGGAGGGGACACCTGGAAACAAACCAGTGCCTAACACAGGAAAAAATGGCCTTGTGTGGCGGGTGTTTTCCTCCCATGGATGCATTCTGCCGACTCTCGCCATCTCAGCTTCCGTGCGTCTTATTGCCCCGTGTTCTCTGTTAGCCGCAAGATGTTGCATACACACAGCTCGCAGGGAATAGCTTTACCATGTTGCTGCTGCGTCACTCTGTGCAGAGAAACCTCCGAAACCCTAATCGGTGGGGGAACGTACGTGACGTTTACACTGTAGGTGACGTAAGATACCACACCCCCTGCACCGATCACTTCAGCTCGAGTACTCCACGTCGAAGAGGGTGCGTACACCCAGCAATACGTTGGCGGGAAGCTCTCGACGAGACGGCTCCCACATCAACATTAACGGCACCGCCACTCTTTGTGGTGTGTAGCAACCGAGCTTTGAAATAGGTCCGACCTTTGATATTGGTCTTGGGGGTGTTGTTTCTTGTGTCACCTGCGGTACTGCTGTAGGCACACGCGACAACGGCCGTTCGTTGCAGGCGCCTTTTTTTTTGTTGATGATCGACTGCCACTCGCCACTGCACAAAAGCATCGCAAATTGTAGGCTACTGCGAGGTATTGAGTCGGCTACCCCGCGGCTCATTACCCCGCCTTATCTAGTATTGTAAGCGGAGCTTACAATAAATATTAGACTGTTTTGGTGACTAGGCGCTTCGTCATATTGTCCACCTGAGAGCCCTATTCCAACGGAGGTAAGCACGAATAGGTAGATAGCATTTATGATACCATGGGCGAACAAGCAAACGCCCAAGCGGCCGCTGCCGCAGGCCGAGACCCTCCAGTCCTCCCTCCGACTGCCATGACAAAGCCCGCACTTTTCCGTGTTTTCTAGAACTTTGGTGATGAAACTGTAGGCAGTGCGCGCCGTCGGCGTGAATGTATTCGCGTGCCTTCTTACTTGGGATCCGGATATCGGATATCATATCGGTTATCCAGATCCCACGTAAGAAGAAAAGCGCGAGTACTTATACGCCGACGGTACGCACTGACTACAGTCTGATCACCAAAGTTCTAGAGAGCGATCACGGCAAAGTGCAGGCTTTGTCATTTCATTCGGAGGGAGAAGTGGAGGGGCTTTGACTACTGCAGCGGCCGCTTCGGCGCTTGCTTGTTCACCCACGGTAACGCAAATAATGCGTACTGCTTTGCCTACGAAGGACCGAGCGCCAACTCATTGCTGTTGTTTGATTACCGGACTTGACAACAAGATTCTTGAAAACCCCGGCCCGAATTTCAAAACTCGGTTAACTCCACAGCAGTCAGTCAGTAAGAGAAGCGGCCGAAAATTACGACGTTGGAAACGCTGTGTCGAGAGCTTTCCGAGAACGCACTATTTGACTGCTGTATGGCATCACCTTCGTCGTGGAGTAAATCGAACTTTGAAAACCGGCCCAGGGGGTGTCATATCTTTGATTCCTACGTGCGGTATCCTTTGAACCACACACGGGCCTCAGCGGGAGACAAGCTGGGGGGCAGCAGTTCGTTACAGACGAGAACGGCGTGCTACTCCGGAACAAGGATGCCATCCTCAAGCGGTGGTGGAGATTCTTCAATACCCTCCTGAACTCCAAGTCCCCCACTCTGAACCCAGACGTTGTCGAACAGGTGATGCAGCGACCAGCGACGCGCGCCACCCGACACCTGGCGGCGGTACCAGACCTCGAGGAGGTTGAGGCGGCGACGAAAGGCCTGGGGAACTGGAAGGCGGTTGGTCCCGACCTCCTTGCCGCCGAACTGCTCAAGGTCGACGGCGACGACGAGCCAGTTGTACTGGAGCGCCTCCGTGCCATCTTCGTCGAAGTGTGGAATGGGGGAGAGATGCCGCAGGAGTGGAAGGATGCCATCATTAAGGTGCTG